ACGGGGGGTGGTAAAATGGTGGCGGCTCGCTCCTGAGGCGCCCACCCGGCGTGGCGGGGGCGCGGCCGCAGCCCGCGGGCCCATCTCCCTGCCTCGGTAGCCAGAGCTCCCTCAGGCCTGGGCAGTGCCGCTTCCCGCAGTCACCCTGCCTCCAGCAGCTGGTGGGCTAAGGTTTGGGACGTTAATCTCTCCAGTAATTACAAACCTTCTCTTTGCCATTATGGCATGGCAGGTGCAAAAGAGATTTTTTAGGTGTTTGGAAGCACTGCTGTTCAGCCTTACCCATCAGGAGCGGCCGCCCGGTCTCGCTGACATTGGAAACCAACAAGATGTTAAACACGCGTTTCAGGAGTTGACAAAAATCTCTGTGTAAATATATGATGAATAAGCAGGCTGCTACCGAATAGCTGTAAAGGAAATGAGAGACAGTCTGACAATTCTCAGACTAGTTTGACACATTTTTGACACTTCTAAGCATAGTGGGATGTGAAGAGTAAACTTGGAAGTGTTCTTCTGCAAAAGCAGATTTAGAGTGGTATAGTGAAAGACGGCATGCAGTGTTACTTCAAAGAGCTTTCTTCATGAGGGTGATTCAGCTAGGAGTTGGTGTTTGTAACACTTTAACCAATTCACATTAAAAACCCAGCGTTGTGTGGTCTGGGTTTTAGAAAGAAATGGAAGGGGGAGATGTCCTGAGAGTATAAACCCAGTGCCTGATCTAGAGTAATGTCATGGGGAGGTGTCAGTTCTTTTAAAGGAAGGATTTTTGTGGTTCACTCTTCTAGGTGGCTCAACGAAGCCAAGCTTTATCAGTTTCATTCTGAACCCGCTCGTCAGCCAGAGGAGCAATGGATGGACTTTAATACCAGAGTAAATCTCCAATATCCTGGATTTAGGCTGTTGTAACTCGGAGCAGAATTTGATCTCCTACACATAGGATCAGTAGATATGGGATTTTCCCAACTAGATGCTTTAAAATACGATGCAATGAAAGATTGTGATATGGGCAGGTTATGTCTCCATAACCTGAAACAGACTATAATTGCATATCTCAGTTGATGATGGTGCTGAGGTCAGTGAAAGCATCTACTGAATCAATTAATTTGTCACAACTGAAATTTTCCCCAGCTCAGCCTTTGGATTTCATTCAAAACTTTCTTTAAAGAAACAACAGTGTGTTGATTTGCTGCATACTTTATTTGAAGCATTCTAGAACCCTGGAACCAAGTCCTCGATTTTTTTATTTGCCTAAAACTATAGCTGACTTCAGCAGAAATAATTGTTACGGGTGTAGTTATACCACTTGTTTTTAATATAAATAGTAGCGTGCTTGGTAGGCAGAGAGGTGAGTGGTATAGTAATGGCATTTAGACCTGTTTTAATAAATATTTAGTTTGGGATTAGGTTGAGTGTTAACTGCTATTAGCATACGTGGTTCATTATTATCAGGTGTGTGTTTACTGGGGAGGTGAAAGAGGCGTTGACCATCACAGAGCTGACCATGATGGCTGCTGCAGATATGGAGGCTCCATCTTCCCATCTTCCTGGCTAGCTGAGGATTGCATCTGTCTCTAGTTATTGCGTTGTTTTCTCACTCACCGAATCGTGCCTGAGATTCAGCCTTTAAAGTCAAAGTCGACAATCAATATCTTGTGAAAGAGGAAGCTAAGTGATTCTCAGCCTTATGGTGATAATCATATGCATTTAAAGGGTAGTGGCTAAATTTGTGGAATTAAAATAGAAGTCTAATGATGGGCTATTCCTATTAAGTAGAAATTAAATGTAGCTTTAGAAAAGGTTGCCCACGACTCCGTTAATATGTTTCAGATTGATTGATAAAGATATTACTAGCACTTTTTTTCTGTTAGGCGTGGTACAGTGGAGTGACTTAAAAGCTATTTGATGTGTAAGGCAGTGACAGTATCACTTAAATAAATCACACAGTTTAGCCTGTTTATCTTCCTTATTTTTTTTTTAAGGCTGTACAGGGAAACGTGACTTTTTGGCTCTTCCTTAGAACTAATCTGATTTCTAATTTTATTTTAATGAAATTTTAATTTATTTTAATTTTATTCTGTACAAATAGAATGGAAAAGATACAACACGATAGAAACACTGTCTGAAACATATATATGATTAATCAATTGTGTTTGCTTCTTCTAGGGAAAATCCAGAACGTACCTTTGATTTGGTACTGAAAGTAAAATGCCAAGCATCTGAAAACGAAGGTAATATACTGTGCCTATTGATATTTCTTTATAGAAATGAGAGGTGGAAAAAAAAATAGTTTGTATCCTGATCTAGTGTCATCTTATGTTTTGATTTGCTGTTGGATTGGGATTGCATTAGAAAGCGACTAGGGTTGTTTTATTGCCTTTTAAAATCTGTTAATGTGTTAATTCATAGTTGTCGTGGATTTTTATTGTTGTATTTTCATTTTGGCTATTGTAAAAATATTTTTGTTCTGAGAGAAATACTTGCAAAGCTTGGACTTGAAATGCATCTTCTACAGTTCTTAAGTCTTAAAATGTTTTGTGTAAGACTTCATTTTAGCAGAACAATTGACTTCTGTCTGTCAGTGGAATGTTAATTTTGATCAGTGTGATAGGGAGAAAGTAAGTTCTTTCCTGAACAACAGAAAGAGACTTTCTTTCTGGCTCATGTTTGGCAGCTGCTTTGCTTTGATACATGATACAAACAGCAATGAGTGCTGACTTGAGCTTGTATTAGCCATCAGTTTCACGTCTTTATAAACACATGGTAAAAGAGATGTAGTACTGCAAGAGTTATCTGAGAGAGGCTTTTTTCCTCTTGGGTAAAAAGAAGATGGGAATTCCAGTGCTGAAATTAAAGTGACCTCTAGAAGGTCCATTGGGGGAATTCAGTTCGTGTTCGCATCTGAGGTTGTTAGCCTTATAAAAACTCTGGGAGAGAAAAAGTCTTGTTGGGGTTGTGTTGTAGTCATGTTAGTCTGCCACAGCTGTGTCTTAATCATAACTAAAAACCAATAAACTACATCTTAAAATTGAGTATATTTCTTATCCTACTGTGCTAATGGATGCTGTTTCCAGAGTTTACTACTCTAACAAGTTAGAAGCCTGTGGAAGTTTATAGCCCCAAACTATTCCTTTTTTTTTTAATTTCAACACTTTTTTTAATTTCAACATGTTCCTTTTTTTAAATTTCAACATTTCTGTTAGTGGTGTCATGGGTACATGCCTAAAATGTTTACAAAAACCATTTTTGTTGAAGCTAAACAATTGTAGTTCTTTACATCTTTTCATGGCAATCCCAGCAGGCTTTTCTGTACCTGTTGTATTACATGTTATCCATTATTGATATCTCAAGTTCTTCTGCTTTTTTTTTTTCTCTTTTCTTTTTTCCTCCTCTTCATAAGATTGTTCATTAATTTGTGGAATGACACCTTGGTCCTGGTGCAGTCCTTGGGTATTTTCATTTTTTTTGTGACCAGCCAGCGTCCTTCAGTTTATTGGCTGCTTTTTTGGTTTGCTGTTGGTACAGTCATGGTTTGGGGAATCAGATGGGCTCTCCTAAGTCTCTGATCGTTGTTGTGGTTTGTATCATGGCACATTTTACCTTCTGTTCTCTCCCTTTTGCAGTTTTTACCTTAGTAATTTCATAGATGATGTCTGTGAACCCTGCTTAGCTACTTGACTTATGATCTGTTCCTCCTTGCATTGTGCATTTAGTCTCTGCCTCCACCTGACATCCCCTCCTGGGGGCCTGTTCACATCGCTTCAACCTGCAGTTTTTATTCCCTTTCTTCCTTTCCCTCCTGAGAGCTGGGCTGTTGATAATCCTTTCAGGTCTTCATCCTGAAATCTTGAAAAATGTGGGGTTTTTTCTTCTGTGATCAGAACATGGATCTATATCCTTTTAATTCCTTTTATCTCCCTTTTGACTTCTGGTTTTTGTTTTGGATCTTTCTGCCTCTGCTGCCATGAGAAACCACTTCTCATTACCTGCAGCTCTGTGAATGACTGCCTATACATGAATTCTGGTCATCGTCACTTCCCCTGCCTCCCTCGGTGGGCGTTTTGTGCAGTTCATCAATTGTCCTCTGTGGAGAGTAGCGTCTTTAAGAAATCTGTGTATCTCCTTGAACTGTGACCTGAGTTAATGTGGAGACTGTATTTGTGACTGTGTTGTGGGTGCATCCTCTTCTATTCCACTTTTTGCTGTCATTCCCTTCTACCCCGTGTGGGCTCAGTTGCCGTTTGTCCATGGGGTGGCCAAAGGCAGAAAGGAGGTCTGATACTGGTAGCGTTGGAGGCTGCGGCATGTGACTGGCAAGGGGTTTAGGGGTGTTTCAGCTGGCCTGGAGGTTGTATTGATCCTTGCATGAGTCCGCAGACCAGTGCAAAAGTCCGGTCCCCTTTTAGCATCACATTGTGCTGGCTGAATATTCCAGTTACCATCCTGCTGTACTTGGTGGCCCATCTGGGATTTGATTTAATTTCTTTCTTATTATATCTAATTCAGATAACAAACTCACTCCAGTGAGGGCTTGACATCATATTTACATATGGTATTATGAGCACAGTGATGTATCAAATTAATATATCTGAATGTTAAAGTTATTTAAAGGAAATTCACAAGGGACAAAAGTGTATTGTCTTCACCGCCACTTTAGAAATGGAGCACAAGGCTTGTCATGCTAAACAGGGAGCTTTCAAGGTTGGTTTATTATAAGGCCTAACAAATTTGACAGTTACCCTGTATTGTAGGTCTTGCCTTTAAATAGATTTTCATGCTAGGATAATCTTTTGAATATATCATACTTGAAAACGTGATCCATTCACCTGTTTCTTTGCTCATGCCTCTTTCTTTCTTATGAAAGAGATTTGTGTTTAAATAGGGGCTTTCTCCCTCGCATCCCATCTGCTCCTTGTACTTGATCCTGAAGCTATGTCAGGGCTGAATTTGCGACATCACTGTCACCAGTGTTGCTGTGGAAATACCACAGCCACAAAATTATGATCTCCCTGCATGAGTGAGCAGCAGGAGAAGCCGACTTAGGAGAGAGGCAGACCTTAATGTGACCCATGTATCTTTAAGCTTTTTCTTTTCAAGCTTTGCTGTAGTGTGCATTCTCCTGCGTTTTAATTTCCCTGTGCCAGCGTGTAACTGTTTTAACAAATATAAATTGAGATAGCCCTGCTGCATGTGTAGTTGTTAATAAGGTGATGTTTTTACGAGGATGCTATATGCCTGCAAGTGTGACATGATGAAAAATTTTGCTGTTAAAATTGTTATGCTTTCGAAAAAGTATTTTTAGATAACTTCTTAATTATAGTATATCTCTCAAGGAATGTTAATTTTTCAGATCTGACAATGTCCTAGGGCTCTTCCAGCTATAAAGGATCATACATACATGAAATGCAGCAAGGTTTATATGTATTATGAAATTTGTTCTTAAATCATTCCACTTATTATTTCCAACATTGTTTTCTACTCAATATAAACACCTAAGAGGTTTCATGTAGGTTAATATAAATTTATCACTTCATGTATGGTAGGTAGCTCCTGAATTGGATACAGGCTCAGTTGTGCTAGCATATCGTTTCTTATAGCTGGATCAAAATTTTGTTTTCCCATTGAATACCTGTTTTTTGTGATTTAAGAGTAGCGTGCATACTTGAATATTTATTTCTTAATACTGTGTTCTTGACTGAATAGATTATCCTTTTGGGATGTTCTCTCTCTCGCTGTTTTAAACTACAGGAGTGCACAATAGCATTGCTAGAATAGCGATCTAACCCTTTTCTCGTTTTTGGGACAGGAGAGAAAAAAGGGTACTTATGTGAATATTCTTCTAATTGAGCACTTCATTGAACTAATAGCATGAATTGTAACATTTTTTTGCTATTGCTGACAAGCTTTGTTTATTCTTCACTCGGGTTATGTAAAAAAAAAAAAATCTTCTGTTTATTAGAGGGGCTTAATGCCTGCTCTTAGCACAAAGCAGGATATGGTTCCCTCAACAATTTAGAATGTATTGCTTACTGTATTTTCAGAGTAAATGATGCTTTTGATATTATACTACACCTAAGACTTTACCTTGCAAGTTGCGTTTCAGCTGTATTTAATTAGACAGTTGAGGCATATATTCCAAAGAGAAAACCTTTAGGACCAAAATCAGATTGTAGCCCATGTCATAACTTCCAGTCCTTTGCAGCATGGTCAAGATGATAAGCATCAATTAACACCATGTGTTGAAACATAGTAACTAGTTAGTGTGACAACTTTTTCTTGGGAAAATTCATAACCCAATTCTCGCAAACCTTTGAGATGAATTGACTTCTGTTCACCAGGGTTTGTTAGGTGACTGTGAGATGAGTGCTAAGCTATTCTAACAGCCCAATATTTGTTAATTGTGCATTTGCATTGCAGTGTCAGTAGCACCTTATAGCAAAAGGTCTTACGTTGCCTCCCAGGCAGTTGCAGATTTTCGTAATTCTTTCCTGTGTCACTCCTTAATGAACAAGCAAACAAAAGAAATAGGAAAAACATGTGCCCATTTGAACATCATCAGCTGGCCTTCTGTATTACATTTTCGTTTACAGACCCAGAGGACAACTTGATAACAGACACTAATATTATCGAAACTGTTGTGTTATTTTAAGGACGACCATTGCTCTTTAGCTTTAGGGTAAAAAGATGCAAGTTTTTTGTGCTTCGGGCTGAATCACCCTTTCTAGGTATCGGGAGTAATGCAGTGTTACAGTTGTCCTGAGTGCATAGTCTTACAAGAGGCTATTGGTTCAAGATTGTACGACAGCTGCACCTACAGCAACTTTACTCTTCTCCTGGCACTCTCTTGTCTCTTGAAAGTTATGCTGCACTTTGCGCTGTAAGATATGCTCGAGCCTAGAAATTGGCTAACCAAAGCAGTCTGCAGCTTTTTTTTTTTTTTTTTTCTTCTATGCAGGTCCTTCTATCAGGAAAAGTAAACAATTTCTGGAAAGCTGATGTTTCTGAACTCTTCCACAGGACATGTCCAAAATAATAATGCCAGTGTAATCTTTGTGAAGAGTGTATATTTATCTATGTATCTATGCATACACAAGCATATACAGTATGTGCACAAACACACGTCTGAACTTTACATTTTGGTTAAATGTTCAAAGATAAAGTTGGTAATTTAACTCATTCTATAAACTGTATGTCCTATATTGATTTTATTAAAACTGGATTGCAGAGGCCA